AAAGAAAAAGAAAAAGGAAGGAAGGAAAAGGAAGGAAAGAAGGAATGAAGGAAGACAGACAGACAGAGAGAAAGAAAGAAGGAAGGTGGGGAGAGGGAGAGAGGGAAGGAGGGAAGGAAGGAAGGGGGAGAGGAAGTGAAGAGAAAGGAAGGAAGGAAGGAAGGAAGGAAGGAAGGAAGGGAGAGAGAGAGAGAGAAAGAAAGAAAGAAAGAAAGAAAGAAAGAAAGAAAGAAAGAAAGAAAGAAAGAAAGAAAGAAAGAAAGAAAGATGAGGCAAAAAAGAAGAATCAGGAAAATCCAGAGAGCGACCACTGAATGAAAGTTCTTTTTACTCAGTGACAATCCCCACACAGCATGTTTAACTAGATCAGGGAAAGGCCTAGCGCAATGTTTCTCAATCTCGACCACTTTAAGACTTCAACTCCCAGAATTCCCCAGCATGCTTTAAACATGGCCTATGAATTTGCCTTTTAAGAGTCAGTTCAGTGGGTTTGATTCCGCTCTGAGGGAAAAGAGGGATCATTCCAATGCAGGTGAAACCTTTAAAGTTTTCGCAGAGGAAGGTGGCTTGATGGACAAAAAGAACCACCTTTTAGGAGAATTCCCCGAATTTGGGTCTCTGAGGGAATGGAACCTTCCTTGTCTCCAGGATCAGAAAAGAAACGGCTGGCAGAGGGTCGGTTCCCAACTGTGCCTTCCAAACATCTGGGCTTCCTCCACAGCAGCTTCTTGTTCTGACCAAGGCTTACTGAGACACTAACAAACACATGTTTATCCTCAAACCCTTTTTTCTTTATTTCAACAGCTGTGAATTTTAGTAATTTACAGCCCGTAATGAGTCTCAAACAGTTTGTAAAAGTCCTTCAGGATAAGTCTGATAAGCACCCACCTTTATCTTCCTTGAAATGCTGCCAACGACTAAATTCCCAATTAGTTGTACAAGACTAAACGGAGCACAAATTCAGCACAGAGCTTCAGGTTTCAAACCAACCCGTACGAACAAAGTTGCTTCCTGCAAAGGTTCCTGTCCCTTTCCTCCTCCCTTAGGTCTTATGGAAGGGCCAATCACCTCCAAGCCTTACTCCTGAGTTGCCCCTTTTGTCTTAACTGTTCTTGCCTTCTGGCAGCTTTGTGCATGCGCGCACTGGGAACAGGCTCCCCTTGTTCCTCTGCCTCGCTGCTGTCAGATTCTGGAGGCTCCAGAGTTTGCACATAACTCCCAGGTGGCCCTGGCCCCATCTCTGTATTGGATGCAGCACCCTTGTCCAAGTCCTCCCCTGATTCCCAGACTAGCCCATGTTCCTCCCCACTGTCTGACTCTGCTGCCGTCTCCGCAGGCTGCCGGCGGACCACAACACTTCCTCCCTTCCCACCTCTCCAGACCAGTACTCACCCACTGCCTGAGGGGCTAAAATCTGGGTGAATCCAGCTGAGAAAGTGATGAGCACGATGGGGTAGGTAATCCAAGCCATGTATTGCAAGAAAACATTGGTATCCAACCCGCCGTACATCCACTTCTGGGCTGCAAGAGAGAGAGAGGGGGGAAAAAAATCCGGTTTGCTTGTCAATGCACAAGAGATAATCCTGCAGGTCAGAGGTAGTATTCAGCAGGTTCTGACCAGAAATTTTGAGTAGTCTGGAGAACCGGCAAATCCCACCTCTGACTGGCCCCGCCCCCATCTATTCTCCGCCTCCCATTGAGTCCCAGCTGATCGGCTGGGCCTTCTTTGGTTGCCCTGCACAGGAGAACGGAGCTGGAAAGCAGGTTAGAGGAGTAGGGAGGAAATGTGGATTTTACAGTATCCTTCCCCTGCCACTCCCACAAAGCCATGCCACACCCACCAAGCCACGCCCACACAACCAGTAGTAAAAATGTTTGAATCCCACCACTGTTCCAGGTTGAGTTGCCATCGCGCAGGAGGCTACGCTAAAGTGATGCTTCTGCCCCGAAGAGACCATTTTCTCAGCATCTTTCCTCCAGAAATTTGGATGGCCCCAATTCTGCTTGGCGCTGAAGTCCAGGCTGTTTCCCCAGGCCTTTAGATCAGAGGGGCAGATGAGCTGGACTTAATTGATCTGATTTTTTTGGCCTGCAAGTGGGGTTGTTGTTTGTCCTTAGATAGCAATAGCCATAGCACTTAGGCTTATATATAGTTCCACAGCCCTCTCTAAGCGGTTTGCAGAGTCAGCCTATTGCCCTCAACAATCTGGGTCCTCATTTTACCCACCTCGGAAGGAGGGAAGGCTGAGTTGACCTTGAGCCAGTCAGGATCGAACTCCTGGCAGTGGGCAGAGCAGCCTACAATGCTGCATTCTAACCACTAGCGCCACCAAGGCTTTATGTTGGGTGAGGAGCAATCTTGGGGTGGGTTTTTTCTATGCTTTAATTATTGTAAGCTGCCTAGGATCACAATTAAAAATTAAATTAAATTTAAAACATAAAACAATATAAAAGTCCTTGACTTATGTCAAGCTCTTGGCCACCAACCCGCATTTATGGCTATTTGCAGTGTCCAACAGTCATATGATTGCTTACTTCAACATTTTTGTTGAAAACAGGCATTTACTTCTGGGTTGTTGTTGGGGGTTTTTGGCAAAAAAGGCCCATAGTGAACAATGGATTCACTTTACAACCACTGTGTTCACTTAAAGAGTGTCTTGTTTATATAACAAATGCCACGAGACAGGTTGTCAGAATAGGGGCAACCCACTTTGCATCCGTCACAACTTATAAGCCATAATGGGCAGGCTCCATTACAGTTATATGTTGAAAACAAAATAAAATAAAATAAGTGAAATAAAACAATAAAGTGTAAATATAAAAAATAAAAATGAAGTAAAATATTAAAAAAATAAAAATAAAAAATAATAAAATGTAATGAAATACAAGAAAAAAGGAAAGAAATAAAATAGAATATAAAAGATATAAAATAATGAAATGAAATGAAATAAAGTAAAATAAAACAATAAAGTGTAAAGTAAAATAATAAAATAAAATATAAAAGAAATAAAATAATAATATAATGAAATGAAATAAAATAAAGTAAAATAAAATAGAATAGAATAATAAAAATAATAAAGTAAAGAGTAAAGTAAAATATAAAAAATAAGGTAAATAATAAAACAAAATAAAAAATAAAAAAATATCATATAAAATAAATGCAATCATAAAACAAAACAAGGTGTAAAAATATATATATAAAAAAAGTAAAATAAAGACAATAAAATATAAAATAACAAAACAACACATTTCCTCTCAGAAGTGCCGAGTCTCGGATTCTCAGCCCGGGAGTGCTGGCTGCCTTTGCAGTTGTGACTTTCAATCTTCTGACCTTGCAGGCAAGTTGCTATGGCGAAGTCCATGGCCCAGCTGACCAGGGCCATCAGCAGACCCAACAGAATGAGGAAGATCCAGTCTTCGCCCACTTTGGAGATGAGGAACTTCTGGCACCGCACGGTACAGACTGCAAGAGAGAGGGGGGAAAAGGAGTGGATGAGAGATGGGGAGACAAGGACATCCATGGGACTGCAGCGGAGAGAAGCTAGGATACAGGGGTAGGCCAGATGGGTCCATTGCTATGGAAACGACGCGCTTTCAGAGCAAGTACAGGATGGGAGCAGCGGAAACACCGGTGCTTTGATAGGAAAGATGAACAAAAGGGGAACATAACCAGGAAAAATTGCCGCGTTTAGATACGCGGGTAAAATATACAGTACATCAGCATTTAGCATATGAACAGAAAAGAGAGTCCGGTCATGGGTTTTGCCTATTTGTCTCTCTGCCCACATCCTTGCCTGTCCACATTGGTTTGTACATTTATTTATTAAATTTATTTGCTGACCATCCTGCAATGAAATAAAATAATGAGCCAGCAGTGTGCAGCAGCAGCCAGAAAAGCTAATGCAATCCTAAATTGCATTATGAGAGGGATACAATCCAGATCAAGGGAGGTACTAATACCACTCTATAAAGCCTTAGGAAGACCACACCTAGAGTACTGCATCCAGTTTTGGTCACCACATTATAAAAAAGATGTTGAGACTCTAGAAAGTATGCAGAGAAGAGCAACCAGGATGATTAGGGGACTGGAGACTAAAACATACGATGAACAATTGCAGGAACTGGACATGGCTAGTCTAGTGAAGAGAAGGACCAGGGGAAACAGGATAGCAGTCTTCCAATATTTGAGGGGCTGCCACAGAGAGGAGGAGGGGGTCAAGTTATTTTCTAAAGCACCTGGAGGCCAGACAAGGAACAATGGATGGAAACTGAACAAGGAGAGATTCAACCTGGAAATAAGGAGAAACTTTCTGACAGTGAGAACAATCAAGCAATGGAGCAGTTTGCCCTCGGAAGTTGTGGGAGCGTCATCACTTGAGACTTTCAAGAAGAGACTGGACTGCCATTTGTCAGAAATGGTGTAGGTCTCCTGCTTAGGTGGAGGGTTGGACTAGATGACCTACAAGGTCCCTTCCAACTCTGATTACCTGTAATCTGTAAACTCTGGGTAGCTTACAGCATAAAACATGAAAATTGTAACATATAAATCCCTCTAAAATAATTATTCTGCTTGAACAGTACTCAAACCATCATTTGTTCCAAAGCAAGATCAAACTGTGTTTTCAGGTTCAGGGCAAAATCATTGTTTCTCACATTCAGATACAATGGCACCCTATGGTTTATCAATCAAGAGGAGACCAGTTTAAAAGGAACCATTTGAGAGGGTTGGAAGTCCACAAGTCTTAAAGCTGTCAAGTTTGAAGATCCCTGGGATAAATACACTGATATCGTCAGACAGACAGATAGACAGACAGATAGAATGACAGAGAACACCAGAGAGGTAGATGGGATAGAGATGGCTGCAGAATTCTCGGAGTTGAAGTCCACGAGTCTTAAAGTTGCCAAATTTGGTGACCTCTGGTATACTGTATCCTGCTTTGGGGCAGGGATTCATATGATAGACAGACAGACAACAGACAGAATAACAGAGAACAACAGAAGGATGTGATGGTGTAGAGATGGGTACCAGAGATGAACTGAGCAGAGATCCATTGGATTGATGGTACCGGAGTGTTGAAAAGCATCAGGGTTACGATGCAAGAGCAAATTAAAAGGATGACTATCTTGCGTGGGAGTCTGTCAGAGACCATCCAGCCAATTAGAAGAAGACAGAGGGAAGATTTATTAAAGCAGAAAACCATGAAGTGGTCAGAATGGGAGATTTCAACCGCAGAATGACTTTTTTGTGGGAAGAGTCATTCTGCAGGACCCAAGATGTCACATCGATTTTTCACTTGTCTTGATGATAATTTTCTCTTTCCAAATGTTTGAGTGGTGCATCAGGGGAACGGCTACTTCGGACTTGGTCCTTACTAACAGGATTGGTTGGAGATATTAAAGAGATGAAAGCCGGGTGCAAATGGCTATATAATATTAGAGTCCTTATTCTTTTTAAAAAGCTTGCTTGGAAACAACCTTGGATTTTAGAAAGCAAAATTCTAATGAACTAAGAAAAATTAAGGGATATGATATTTTAAAAAAACACTTAACAGGTAAATGGATTTGAAGCTGGGTGGGACTTCTTGAAAAGGAAATTCAGTTTCAAAAAATTAAAAAGTTTAAATTAAATCCCAAATAAATTAAATCCCAAAGAGTACCAATGAAGAAGACAACTAGGGAAACTGGAAAAAGGCTAAATGCAGTCCTCTCCTCATCGAGAAAGGACAGAAAGAGGATCTCAGATATTATCAACCATCAAAACCCAGAAAGATATTAAAACAGTAAACCAGTCCATTTGTAAACATCTGGAAGAATAACAGAGTTGGAAGGGACCTTGGAGGTCTTCTAGTCCAACCCCCTGCTCAGGCAGGAAACCCTACACCATTGCAGACAAATGATTGTCTGCTCTCTTCTTAAAAGCCTCTAGTGATAGAGCACCCACAACTTCTGGAGGCAAGTAGTTCCACTGGTTAATTGTTGGGAAATTCTCTCCTTAGTTCTAGGTAGCTTCTCTCCTTGATGAGTTTCCATCCATTGCTTCTTGCTCAGCCTTCAGGTGCTTTGGAGAATAGCTTGACTCCCCCTTCTTCATGGCAACCCTTCAAATATTGAAACGCTGCTATCAGGTCCGCCCTAGTCCTTCTTTTCATTAAACGAGATGTACCCAATTCCTGCAACCATTCTTCGTATGTTTCAGCCTTCAGCTCTCTAATTATCTTTGTTGAATGAGACTGACCGAGAAATTGTCCTCTTATTTTATTTTGCACTGTTAGGTAATATGAATTCAATGAGGAAGTAGACTTCATAATGCTAAACAAGATCAAAAGTTTATCTCAAAGGACATCGGACGAGGACTATACTCTGAACATTCACTAGGTTTCACTCAGCAAAAATAATCAGACGCATTGGCCAAAATTGTAAGCAAGTTTGCTCATTTCCTGATTTTATGTAGGCTACCTTTAATTAGGCTCCGTTCGTGCCCCTTCGCCCAAAGCCATTCATGTGTCCCTGGAAGGCAACCAAAATCGGCTGCCAAACTCTTAACTTTCAGGGTGAAAGAAGAAGAAAAGTTATTAAATCCTCAGGAAACAAGCTTAATGAATTGCATCTAATTTGTTATCCATCTGAAAACAAATGGGAACAAATTTCAGCTGATGTTTTTGCCCTGCCACTGATCATTTAGGGGCAATGTGAGGCTTCAAATAGGTATCTTGTCCCCCCCTCAAAGTGTTGGAGTTATGAAATATAGGTAGTCCACGAATTACGGCTATTCGTTTAATAAGCCAAGTTAAAGATTCAATTAATAGATTAGAATAGAATTCTTTATTGGCCAAGTGTGATTGGACGGACACACAAGGAATTTGTCTTTGGTGCACATACTCTCAACAACCATGTTACTAAAGAGTCAGCTCCATTAGCCCCCAGCTTTGCATGGGACACACATTAGCTAGGATCCTTTCTCATAGAAATCAAATAGGTAGCAAGCTACAAAAAACGTGTGAAAAGCAAACAGCATAACAGGATATTGCAACCAGGTGCAAACTGATAGCTACAAAGGATCAGGGAAAAACAGAGATTAGACTATAAAACAATTACTCCCACCAAGATCCCAGGAAGAGATCCCAATCTAAAGAGACAGGAACTCATCACACAAACACAAATCAAAGACTTCAAGGATTCACACTTATAATATCAAAGAACCTGAAGTGTATAAGAAAGGGGTTTTCCTACTCACTTATTAGATTAATCTCAGGAACGCTGTAGGATCTATTCTTATTTGCCTTCCTATTAATAAACTTCTTCTGGCTTCCAATGCAGCTGACCAAATGACTTTGCAGTAAAATCTCCCAGCCGGGAAATTTGAATCCACAAAGGAAAGAACCTTGCCTTTTTCCTTAAAGGGCAAGGCTTTCTTTTCATTTCCTCAGTAGTCCAAAGTTTGCCCAATGTTAGTCCAACCACTACAGACAGGCCTGTTTTGACTCAGTAGTCCAGGATTTTAAATCAGAGTTGGTTCGCCAGAGACGGCAGGTCTCAAAATGGTTACCAAACTTATCTTCAAGGCCAGCATTCAAGAGTCTAACTAAAACCACTTATCTATAGATAAAGGAATAAACTGTTTCTCCATCCAAGGTTTCTATTTTGTTACTTCTCAATCAACTAGGTCAGGCAATGGGGAGTAACATACAAGAGAGCCTTTTCTAGCTGAAGAGCCCTCACCTCCCAAGGACTGTCTGTACAATTCAGAACATTTTTGCTGAAAATTGGCCTTTGGTACAATGGGTTTGTTTAAAGACCAATCAATCAATTAATCAGAATAGAGCTGGAAGGGGCCTTGGAGGTCTTCTAGTCCAACCCCCTGTTCAAGCATGCAATCTGAGACAAGTGGCTGTCCAATTTCTTCTTAAAAACCTCCAGGGATGGAGCAGGCACAATTTCTGAAGGCAACTCATTCCATTGGTTAATTGTCCTCACTATTAGGAAGTTTCTCCTGAATTCCATGTTGCTTCTCTCCTTGATTAGTTTCCGTTCATTGCTTCTTGTCCTGCCCTCAGTTGCTTTGGAGAATAGCTTGACTCCCTCTTCTTTGGGGCATCCCCTCAGATACTGGAATACTGCTATCATGTCCCTTTTCTCTAATACTAGCCATAGCCACATCCTGCAACCATTCTTCATATGTTTTTAGTCCCCGGGCCTTTAATCACCTTAGTTGCTCAATATCTTTTGAGTAATGTGCTGACCCAAACTGGATGCAGCATTCCAGGTATGGCCTATCTAAGGTTTTCTAAAGCGCTGCTAACACTTCATGTGATTTTCATTCACCGACTGTAGTGTCGGCTTAACAACGTGGCATTTCCTTTACGGCCACTGCAAAAAAAAAGAAAGAAAAAGCAGACTCCATTATGGGTCATAAATCAAGGATGACCTGTAATTAATTACATGATCCCAGCTTTAGATGGCCAGCCAGATTCATGCTGCACTGCACTGTTTTATCTCCACAGGCATTAACAGATAATCAGAGTTGGAAGGGACCTTGTAGGTCATCTAGTCCAACCCCCTGCCCAAGCAGGAGACCCTACACCATTTCTGACAGATGGCAGTCCAATCTCTTCTTGAAAGTCTCAAGTGATGATGCTCCCACAACTTCTGAGGGCAACTTCTGTTCCATGGGTTGATTGTTCTCACAGTCAGAAAGTTTCCCCTTATTTCCAGGTTGAATCTCTCCTTGTTCAGTTTCCGTCCATTATTCCTTTCCTGGCCTTTGGGTGCTTTAGAAAATAGCTTGGCCCCTTCCTCCTCTCTGTGGCAGCCCCTCAAATATTGGAAGACCGCTATCCTGTCTCCCCTGGTCCTTCTCTTCACTAAACTAGCCAGGCCCAGTTCCTGCAACTGTTCTTAATATGTTTTAGCCTCCAGTCCCCTAATCATCCTGGTTGCTCTTCTCTGCACTTTTTCTAGAGTCTCAACATCTTTTTTAAAGTGTGGTGACCAAAACTGGATGCAGTATTCTAGGTGTGGTCTTACTAAGGCTTTGTAGAGTGGTATTAGTACCTCCCTTGATCTCGATTGTATCCCTCTGTTAATGCAGCTTAGGATTGCATTGGCAATTTTGGCGGCGGCTGCGCACGGCTGGCTCCTATTTAGCTGGTTGTCCACTAAGACTCCAAGATCCCTCTCACAGTTACTGCTACTGAGCCTGGTTTCACCCTGTCTATTCACTCAGGTGTTTCCTGGGATGAGATTGAGGAAAGAGTTAAAACAGGCAGGTATTTCTGCTTCCTTTACAAGTTTGGGCCAAGCGGAACCACCAATCTGAATCAGCTTGGCTATTTGATACTCCAACAGCTTAAGATGCTTCCAGGTGTTCTGCATCTGGATGGCCAGGGCTGCTTGGGGGAACTGAGAGGCCGGTCCCAAATTCTGACTTCGTGAGTAAGCCCCATGGCCGGCCATCCTCTTACCCCATTGCTATGACAGCTGTAGGAAGGCAACAGCTGGGCCCAGAGGGTGGGAGGGCTGTGGCATGGAGGCACCTCTGGATAGGAAAACAGCCTCTCGCCCTCCCGCCCATCTGGTCACAGGTGGTGGCCATTGGAGCGGAGGAGAGGAAAGCGGCCATGGCCAAGGCTACCCCAGGACAGAAGAGCCTGGACGTGGGCCATCTCCCCGGCTGCCTCTGCGAGTTGGCAACTTTGGACAGGGAAACAGCCTCAAGGACAAGGCAAGCTGTGACTGGAGCAGTTGCTAAGGGATTTAGGAAGAGTCAGATCCCACAAGACAATGTGCGCTTGTGTATTTCTCTCTCCCTC